AAATTTAAGTGGGTTAAAAATGAAAAAAACTATGTAAATTGATATTTTATTTACGATGGCTCAATATACAATAATACAAATACATATATACACCGAGAGGATTGTTTGGCTTCAAATTTATATATACACTGAAGAGTTTACATTAATCCCTACTTTAGGGATTAATCTGGACAGGTGGTGATGAGGTTACTTATAGTTTTAATGGCCCCCCTCCCTTGCAGTAGATAGGCTTCAAACCCCAAGTAAATCTGCAGGACTTTTAAAATGTTTATTCACAGATGACCCCCATGGAAGGTTCCTTTATGTTGGTTTAGGTTCTTTGATTTAGGGGGAAATTTGGGTCTGTGCTCCCGTTCCCGATTTAATAAGCCTGAATGCCTTCCACATCCACCCCCCCTACCCAGGCGCTGTATAATCCTCCGGGTTTAGCGCTTCCCCTTGATTATAATTATAATAATATTCACAAATGACACACGTTTATTTATTCAATATTGTGTAAGGGTCGCCAGGGTGGACACAGAATTTGCATCCCAGACAGAACCAACATAAAAGTTGAGAAACTTGTGCAACATCTGGGTATCTTCATTGTAGACGTTTTGCCATCCAGTGGCTTTATCAATACAGATTCCCGGACGTTTAAATTTGGAAGACAGGTTGGGTGCATTGGCTTAAGCCGGTAGGAGACTTGGACCTGCCTCGCATGGACCAGTGGGCCTTCTGCAGTGTTCCTTCGTTCTTATGTTCTTATATACAAAAGATGAGGTAATCAGTCCCTCAGCCTTGATTCTCCTCCACCACGATGCTGTGAAAACTAACTCCAGGCCGAGGGACTGATTACCTCATCGTTTGTATAATAAATTTCCACCCGTCTTCTAATTATGTCCTAGAATCTGTATTGATAAAGCCACTGGATGGCGAAACGTCTACAATAAAGATACCCAGATGTTGCACATGTGTCTTAACTTTTATATTGTTTGGTATTTTTTACCTTTCTTGCACAACTAACCAAAATAACCTGAGTCAAAGTGAAAATTTCGTCTCGTCGTTCAGTGGTTTTTACCAGGTTTATATAACTGGTTGGTCGTTAAATTTTGGAATAGTTGATGTATAGAAAGTTAATGTAAATAAATGCGTCAGAGAGCTGATAGATTGATGAATTAGACACATGGCAAAAACCTAGTGGTCGTTCCCAAAAGTTTCGCCAAAACCCGTGGCTTCAGGTCAATACTGAGCAGCTAGTAGTTGGCGAAGCGTTCCTAGAATAGAACCCAAGAATTAGACACATAGGCACAACCCGGGTGTCTGCAAACGTTTCGCCAACCAGTAGCTTTAGGTCAATAATGAGTTATTAGTTGGCGAAACGTTCCTAGAATAGATACCCAAGAATTAGACACATAAGCAACACCTGGGTGTCTGCAAACGTTTCGCCAACCAGTAGCTTTAGGTCAATAATGAGTTACTAGTTGGTGAAACGTTCCTAGAATAGATACCCCAAAAATTAGACACATAAGCACACCTGGTGTCTGCAAACGTTTCGCCAACCAGTAGCTTTAGGTCAATAATGAGTTACTAGTTGGTGAAACGTTCCTAGAATAGATACCCAAGAATTAGACACATATGCAACACCTGGGTGTCTGCAAACGTTTCGCTAACCAGTGGCTTTAGTTAAACATAGCTACTACCTGGCGAAAAGTTCCTAGAATAAAGATACCCAAGGGATGTAGAGGTGTCTAAGTCATCATCATTAAACAATAACACATTATCCTGCATATTATTGTATCAACAACACAAGCCACAGGAACCTAGCAGAAACAAATTCACAAGAAAATGGCGGCGTTCTCCATTTTGTGATGAATGGATTGATGGACTGAACACATCGACTCCAGGTTGAGGGACTGATTACCTCATTCTCCTCCTCTCCTTACGCCTTCCTCTTTGTATTGGACTGATGAAGCCACTGTGTGGCGAAACGTTTCCTGAATAAAGATTCCCATATGCTGCATAAGTGTCTCAATGTTCTCCATTTTGTTTATACGAGAGAGTTTAAAATATTTATTTTAATAGGCTACTTGAAGAGTAAATAAAAAAATATATATATAAACCACAGTGACATAGGTAGAATAATTCACAAAATAAGAACATATTTTCATTTTTGAGTTACAGGCAAATGTTGGTTGGAATTTTATTGCGGCAACGTTTGGCTCTCCAGGAGCTTTGTTACGAAATACATGAAGAGCGAAACGTTGCCACAATAAAGTGTTACATTAGTTATGTTTGTGGTCATTTAGGTAACATATTGTCGGTGATTCTACCAATATTAATGGAAATGTTTCTTCTGATAGGCTACGTAATTTACTCGACGCCCTGTTGTTGATGTCTTGGCGGGGGGGGGGGGAATCACATGTATTTTCTTATTATATACAGATTAGTTGGCTATTTATGCTCAGTCTTTTTCACCGCTATATGACCCTTGTGGTTTTAGCGCTTAGTTTTGATTGTTGGAATATGCTGGGCCTTCGTTTGTAAGGGGGGGGGGAGGGGTTAAGGAATTGGTGCTAGCCTGGTTTTGGATCAACGATGGTGGTGGTTTCAATCTCCAGGCGCTGTTTGGCCCGTGTGGATTTAGCGCTTACTGGTGATTATACAAATATTCATGGTGGATTATTTTGTAGTCAATTTCCCGTGATCTGTCTGCTAACCCACCTAACCTGTCTTCTAGATGCTCCACCTAACCTGTCTGCTAGATACCCCACCTAACCTGTCTGCTAGATACCCCACCTAACCTGTCTGTTAGATACTCCACCTAACCTGTCTGCCAGATACCCTGCCTAACCTGTCTGCTAGATACTCCACCTAACCTGTCTGCTAGATACCCTGCCTAACCTGTCTGCTAGATACCCCACCTTACCTGTCTGCTAGATACTCCACCTAACCTGTCTGCTAGATACCCTGCCTAACCTGTCTGCTAGATACCCTGCCTAACCTGTCTGCTAGATACCCCACCTAACCTGTCTGCTAGATACTCCACCTAACCTGTCTGCCAGATACCCTGCCTAACCTGTCTCCTAGATACTCCACCTAACCTGTCTGCTAGATGGTAGGTAAGACACATAGGCAACAGTTTGGCAACTTTATTCCGAAACGTTTCGCCTACACAGTAGGCTTCTTCAGTCGAATACAGAAAGTAGGCAGGAACAGTTGCCTATGTGTCTTACCTACCAACCTGTCGGTATTGTATACCATTTTGATGTTCATCCTGTCTGCTAGATACCCCACCTAACCTGTCTGCTAGATACCCCACCTAACCTGTCTGCTAGATACCCCACCTAACCTGTCTGCTAGATACCCCACCTAACCTGTCTGCTAGATACTCCACCTAACCTGTCTGCTAGATACCCTGCCTAACCTGTCTGCTAGATACCCTGCCTAACCTGTCTGCTAGATACCCCACCTAACCTGTCTGCTAGATACTCCACCTAACCTGTCTGCCAGATACCCTGCCTAACCTGTCTGCTAGATACCCCACCTAACCTGTCTGCTAGATACCCTGCCTAACCTGTCTGCTAGATACTCCACCTAACCTGTCTGCTAGATACCCTGCCTAACCTGTCTGCTAGATACCCCACCTAACCTGTCTGCTAGATACCCTGCCTAACCTGTCTGCTAGATACCCTGCCTAACCTGTCTGCTAGATACCCCACCTAACCTGTCTGCTAGATACTCCACCTAACCTGTCTGCTAGATACCCCACCTAACCTGTCTGCTAGATACCCCACCTAACCTGTCTGCTAGATACTCCACCTAACCTGTCTGCTAGATGCTCCACCTAACCTGTCTGCTAGATACCCTGCCTAACCTGTCTGCTAGATACCCTGCCTAACCTGTCTGCTAGATACCCCACCTAACCTGTCTGCTAGATACTCCACCTAACCTGTCTGCTAGATACTCCACCTAACCTGTCTGCTAGATACCCTGCCTAACCTGTCTGTTAGATACCCTGCCTAATCTGTCTGCTGGCTCGCCTGACCTGTCTACTACCCCACCCCTGGCCTCCATCCGATCTGTCTGCTAGGCCTCCCCTCCTTATCTGCTTGTTATCTCTTCTGATCTGTCTATCCCTCATCTGTCTGCTATCCCCTCTTATCTGTTGCTTTCCACACTGAACTGTCAGCCTCAGTGTCTACTATTCTAACCTATTCACCTACTATTCCCACTAAACAGCCCACTATCCTCCCCCTGGGTTATTCTTGTACCCCCCCCCCCTTTCTTCCTTACATTTCTGCTGTTCCTATCTGTCTTACTATCCACATTAAATTGTCTGCTATCCAAACTACTATCTGCTATCCATACCGAATTGTCTGCTTTCTATACTGTCTGCTACCCACACTGAACTGTCTGCCGTCTACACTTATTAGAGAAGCTATGCACAGACAGTACCAGCAAAATCAGCTCATTCTTGTTATTCAGATGCCGTAATATACAAAAACTGCTTTCGTTCACTTATTTTAAGAGTGATTAGACCCCGAGTGTGTGAGGGAGGGCGAGTGAATGTACGATGGGGTGTGTAAAGGGAGGGTGATTGTGTAAAGGGAGGGTGATTGTGTAAAGGGAGGGTGATTGTGTAAAGGTTAGTATATGAATGTGTGAAAGGGGGAGGGGAGATTATAATTAATATATGAATGCGTAAAGGGAGTGTAAGGGCGAGTGAGATAGGTTGTGAGTCACGAAATCGTAATGATGCGATTGCAAACAAACTATACCATGGGCGGGGTTAGAATCCGCGATCAGAGAGTCGTAAAACTCCAGACCCAGTGGCTAGCGCGTCAGACGCGGGTTCTAACCCCGTCCGTGGTATGATTTGTGAGGTAAGGTTGAGGGGCGACGCCCCCCACGCTAGAGGGGAACTGGAGTCTCAGGTCGCCTCAGATGCACTACAATCCTGTACATGTAACAATATTGTCATGGAGGGAACACGAGTGGAGGGAGTAGCTGGTGATATGAAAAATAACAAATGACGTGTGAAGAAAGGTAGAGGAGGAATCAACAATCAATTTGCGAGAGGAGGGAAAGTGCGGAAGAGGGAGAGGTAAGAAACAGGTGGAAGGGAAGACGTGGAACACTAATGGAAAAGGGTTACCTTGGAGCATGTAAAGGCGCGCTTTATCCAACCAATTAAACCTCTTTGGAACATTTGATTACCTCCCATTCCCATAGCGTTGTATGACCCCCTAGGTGATTAGTGCTTCCCCATGAATGTCATAATGGTGGTAAGGCTTAAAGTACTCAATAAAATATATATTCTACGAGAATTTCTTAAGTGGCTACCTGTCAACACGCGGAAGAGGCGGCGGACGCACGACCTGTCGAACTTGTGAGAGTGCTGTGTTGTGCGTCACTAATCCCTCACCCTGTGTGCGTGGGCATGCCTGCTCCCTGCCGTGCTTGCCTCTGCCGTGCCTGCCCTCTGCAGAGGGCAGCTCTGCCAAGCCTTCACCGTCTCCTGCTACACAACCATAGTTATGACTGGGACTTGTAGGGAGGCGAGGGGTCTGTAAAGAGCGGCTGTTGTAGTTTACTACTGCGTGGCGGGCTGGGGTTGTGGGCGTGTGGAGGTAAGCGGGGGAAGCCCGCAGGTAAGATACCCTCCGTGCCCAAGCTGGTGCCCGTGTCGAAGCCTACTGAAGGTGGCAGGTGCGGTAGGTGGGCCCCTGGTTGGTTAAGGTAGGTGACCACTCGTCGCAACTCTTCTATGGCATTAGACTGCATCAGGATGAAATTCTTAGCAAGTAAGAGAGTAGCAATCTTAGAGAGCTTCCTGACGGAGGGAGAGTGCGCGTAGGGAATCACAGAACGCAGCTCGTCCAGAGCGTCGTTTAGGTCGTGCATCCGTCGTCGCTCCCGAGCATTAATAGAGAGTCTCACGTGCTTCTGTTGTCGGATCTTCTTGGTTCCGGACGCTAACGAACCCGGCGGACCGGACGGTCCACGTGTGGCTTCATCACTGCTACACGAGCCGCCGGTCTCATCCCTCTGTTCACGTTCTTCCTTCACGGCGGGTGAGCCCCTCCCGCTAGCCGGGTCCTGGTTCTCGATGTTACCCGCCATGGAGTGCTCTAGCGGCTGGAGGGGGGGCATCCCCCGCTGAGCACTGCCCTCCTCCTGGGCACCAGATATTTGAAACCCCGGTTGAGTCCCAGGAGGTCGTTCCGCAGCAGTTTGCATGGACTCGCGGGCGGCGGTGTGGTCGTCCCTGGCCTGGACGTGGTGGTAGTAGGCTGCCGGGGTTGTAGGGTCATGTTCTGGGCGGCGGGCAGGGCCCAGCTGGCCGCCAGGACGTAGGTCTCCGCCGCCCATCAGATGCTGCACGCCCAACATGCCGGGGTACGGGAAGGCGCTCATCATGTCTGCAAAAAAAAAAAAAAAAGTTGGTGGCAGGTTATCATCATGGTAGGAAAACGCTAAACCCGCAGAGAACATGCCCAGCCGGAATAAGAGATGATATTATCATGTACTTGGGAAAGTGCTAATTCGTAAGGGTCATACAGAATCTCTGGAATAAAATGAAGCAGCTTGCAGTAAGATCAAGGCAACGAGGTACCGCAATCCATTTCACATACGTCAGACAATAAATACAAAAAGAATTGTTTAGGTAAGACACATATGCAACAGTTAGGTATCTTTATTTCGAAACGTTTCGCCTACACAGTAGGCTTCTTCAGTCGAGTACAGAAAAGTTGATAGAAGCAGTAGAGACTTGAAGACGATGTAATCAGTCCATCACCCTTAAAGTTTTGAGGTGGTCAGTCCCTCAGTCTGGAGAAGAGCATTGTTCCATAGTCTGAAACAATATGAATAAAGATACCTAACTGTTGCATATGTGTCTTACCTAACAACCTGTCGGTATTTTATACCATTTTAATGTTGACAAAAAGAATTGAATACCATTCAGGTTAATATCGGTATTAGAATTGTTGTTATTTGGATGAATGGTCGTAGTTTTGGCCCTGTTATTTTCCTGCTTTACTATACTTAAGGATTAAGGATTTTATTTCTTCGCGTAGTTTACAATGTGTAATTATAATTTTGATTTGCTAAGTGCAAAGAAAACCACTATGATGCCGGGTCATTTCTGGCTCCTACACCCGTATAACATAGGATAGTTCTTAATTAAGATAGTACTTGCGATATCTTTGGCTGTTCTAGTACCCTGTGTATAACTTCAGTGCGAGACGTGCTAATTCCCCTGACAAATCTAGGGGATGACTGTAATTCAGTGATTATAATTATAACATTAATTTTTAAAGGGATGGAGTGGTAAGCCAGTGGAAGGCCTCGGCCAGAAGATTATAAACTCCAGCTGTGGGTTATCATGTGACTAAGACCCGCACCAGGGAACACTTGTCCTGTAAAAGGACACAAGTGCAACAAAAGTGACATTTATTGTGGCAACGTTTCGCCCCTCCAGGAGCTTTATCAAGCCATTACGTAATGGCTTGATAAAGCTCCTGGAGAACAAAACGTTGCCACAATAAATGTCACATTATTGCACTTGTGTCCTTTTACTTTACATATTGTCGGTAATTCTACCAACTTTATTACAACACTTGTCCTGTTTCCTGACGAACCTTACCTACCTAGACAAAACAAGGATGGGAAGGTACCCGTGAATTTACCACTTCTAATAACTACAACCCCCAAATACACACTGGAGACCCGCCACAGACCATCACAGAGTATCAACAAAGAACCTAGGTAAGGAGCTCTGTTATGTATACAACAGTGAACATTAAAATGGTATGAAATACCGACAGATTGTTAGTTAAGACACATAGCAACAGTTATGTATCTTTATTCAAACGTTTCGCCTACACAGTAGGCTTCTTCAGTCGAGTACAGAAAGGTTGATAGAAGCAGAAGATACTTGAAGACGATGTAATCAGTCCATCACCTTAAAGTTTTGAGGGGGTCAGTCCCTCAGTCTGGAGAAGAGCATTGTTCCGTTTTTGGGAAACAATATGAAGTTGAAGTAAACAGAATGGGCCTTATATAGTGCCGGGAGGTGAGACGTAGGTTGCTTTGGGAGGGCAGGTCCCAAACCCAGGGTGATGGACTGATTACATCGTCTTCAAGTATCTTCTGCTTGTATACAACAGTATGTAAGCGACACCTTTGATCGAGTGAACCATACCCCCGGCCGGGATAGAACCCGCGGTCATAGTCTCAAAACTCCAGCCCGTCGCGTTAGCCACTAGACCAGCTAACCACAATAAGATTCATCCAACTAGGTATATTTCTACACCATAGGAAGGTTAGCATAGGCCACCACTGTGACCACAAATGCAAGTTTTTACAGACGAATCTCCAGCTAGCTCGAGTGATTTGCCAACTAACATGTGTTCAGTCCATCAATGGACTGAACACATCGACTCCAGGTTGAGGGACTGATTACCTCATTCTCCTCCTCTCCGTACGCCTTCCTCTTTGTATTGGACTGACGAAGCCACTGTGTGGCGAAACGTTTCCTGAATAAAGATTCCCATATGCTGCATAAGTGTCTCAATCTTCAACTTGTCGGTTTTTCAAACCATTCATCACGATAGTTTAAGCTGTTTCACACGCATTCTGACAGTTCTCTTTTTTTAACGCTGATTTCTTGGGTTTTTAGGCCCTCGTCAGATTGAAATCCTCACTTCAGCGAGGATTTCAATCTGAAGGACAACTTGACTGTGCTACTTTCACCTTCTATTTTCATAAAAAACCAAAACAACTTTATCCTCTACTTACATTTATTAATTTTGGAATTTTTTTATTATATTTAATGTACAGTATTTATTTTTATAAGTATTTATTTCACTATTGCTCGTTTTAACGTAATCAGTTGTCACCCATTTCCTTAGTTTTCCCTTTAGTCGTTATTTGTGTCTTGACATCGTTCTGCTGACTTGACTCTTCTGCCTCTTGGCCCGTTAATTTGACGTTAAGATAAGATAAGATAAGATTTCGTTGGGATTTTTAACCCCGGAGGGTTAGCCACCCAGGATAACCCAAGAAAGTCAGTGCGTCATCGAGGACTGTCTAACTTATTTCCATTGTGGTCCTTAATCTTGTCCCCCAGGATGCCACCCACACCAGTCCACTAACACCCAGGTACCTATTTGCTGCTAGGTGAACAGGACAACAGGTGTAAGGAAACGTGTCGAAATGTTTCCACCCGCCGGGAATCGAACCCGGGCCCTCCGTGTGTGAAGCGGGAGCTTTACCCACCAGGCCACCGAGCCTGGTCACGCAAATTGAGGATTTATCGCTTTGAACGTGTTTTTTGAAGGCGAACACTTAAGTTTCAGGACTGTTCACCTTTTTCCACTAATTTTGTCTCCAAATTTAATTCTGTAGTGGATGAAGAAACTTACTGTATAGGCGAAACGTTACGACACTAAAGATTTCCAACTCTTTTACATGTCTTACTCGTCTATTTGTCCAGTAACGTTTACCCTTTTCCTAAGTTATTGGACCCCTGTTGCCAGCTACATCTAAGGGAACCCGTCACTTAGACTTAATCTGCGTCGCTCATTCTTCAAAAAACACTTCCTCCTGGAAAAATACACATTTGCAGTATAATATGATCCTTCAATTTACAACGTTTCGCCCCAGATAGTGAGCTTTATCACGTCACAAAAAAGATATCTGGGTGAATGTACATGGTAGTTATAAGGTGGACAATTTGGGTAGGTTGTAATTGAGTCTGACCTTTTTAGGGACCGCTGAGAATTTTTAGGCAGCCCTTTGGATTGAGACGGACTCCAGATCCATCCTACAAGTACATGATACAACTTATACAGACCATAGTTAAAATCATTGACAAACTATATGGGAAACCCCGGGTTTTTGCAGAGCATTTCCAACAAATTGGGTTATTTTTTCCCTCAGGATGCGACCCCCACACCCCTCGACTAACACCGAGGTACCTACTTGCTGCTAGATGCAGTGTTTCATTATGACAGGGGAAACGCCCCTATGAACTTTTTCTGCATAAGGACAGGACAACTCTGAGAATATTTATAGTGCTCCGGTTAACGTTGCTCCTACATCGGGCGACTCACGTTCACAAAACTAATAACTTCTATTGTTTATCTGCTTAAAGGAAAGTTATACAGATTATTCTTTCCACTGGGAGAAATCCTGAAAGGATAGTATAAATCCGTATTTAGTGATCCAGTTATAAAATGCTGTTATTAGTCTCAGGGTAGTAAATAAAGCACTAGGGGAATGGTTAGGCAGGTTATACCTGGAAGGTGTTTTGGGGGGGTCAACGCCCCCACGGCACAGTCCATGACCAGGCCTCGTGATGGATCAGGGCCTCATCATCCAGGCTCTTACTGCTGGCCGCACGCAAACCAACCACAACCCGGCTGGTCAGGTACTGACTTTTGGTGCCTGTCCAGCTCTCCGTCTTGTATAGTGGGAGGCAGTTGAACAATCTTGGGCCCCTGAGACTTAGTGTCAAAAAATAAACATTCTGGATAAAAATGGTTAGTGGGGGTTCAAATTTATCTACCACAGGAGGTCATTAAGGCTTCATCTCACCCGTACACACCAGTCAAAACTAATACATGGACCCCCCGCATAACGATCACCTCCCAATGCGACCAATTATGTAAGTGTATTTATGTAAGTGCGTTTGTACGTGTATGTTTGGGGGTCTGAAATGGACTAATCTACTTCACAATATTCCTTATGGGAACAAATTCGGTCAGTACTGGCACCTGAACATACTTCTGGAATGAAAAAATTCGTTAACCGGGGGTCCACTGTATAACGAGGATTAAAAAAACATACACCTTTCGGTGTTTATATGTTTATCTTTAGTCTGGATAAAAATAAATCCCAGGGTGTATATATTTATCCTTAGTCTGGATAAAAATATAACTTCATGGTTCACATTGTGTTAACTATTAGCTGTAGTTAATAGTCTTGTCTGGTAGTTGAGGAGAATAGTCCTTGGTTCTTTCGAACCTAGGACGCCTGGTCTGACACCTCACTATGGGAAACATAATTTCTTGAACCACGGTCTGACACCTCACTATGGGAAACATAATTTCTTGAACCACGGTCTAACACCTCACTGTAAGGAAAATAATTCCTCGAACCACTGATACAATAGATGATCAGTTAGACCGTAACACCATTACAAGCAAACTAAGGACTGGCTTACCGTGGGTTCGGACTCCACCCGTTCCGTGGTGTGCTTGATGAGTTAGGTCAGCACAAATAACAGCATACATACGAGTAATCTTTAGTAGACACAGTCTCGCCATTTAAGTCATAGCCATGTTACTGGTCAAAAGATATTTCTTACCACTGCCTTTGCAACCATAGCCCAGCATGGCCCTCATAGTCACACTTC